GGGGGGGGGGGGTAAGAGCCTCCGCATGACAGACTAATCTCAGTCAAGTGTTCTGCAGACGTCACAGCAGAAGAGGGATTTGGAGGAGGATAATGCAGTTGCTCTGCGACAGGCGGGGGATCTCCCACGGAGGAGGGGAGGCAGGCAGGGGAGTGCTCCAAGAGCTGTGCCCAACGCCATTGGCCAGCAGTGAGATTTGCTACCTCCAAAGTGAACAAGCGGCAGCAGGGAGAGCGAAGCCAGCAAGAACATAAAGCTTAATCCCAAACTGGTAGAGAGGGAGAAACACAACTAACAACATGCGCTCAACAGGCTGCTAAATGGATCGTCTTCTGCTGAGAACTTCAGGCTGCAGCAAGCCTGGGAACAGCTGGGACACCTTAAGGGACATTCTGATGTTGAACAGAGAGGCTGTGACATCTCAGCAGGGACAGGACATCTCGATATCCATCTGCCCAGTCTCGTTTTGTGCAGTGCAAGTTGTAGTAGGAGTGAAAACCAGCCATAAACAGGCACACCCAGAAACTCTGTCCACCCAGCAGCAAGACGGTTCACTTGACATGCCAGTGGGGGACGTGTCCTGGCTAAAGTGCCAGGGGGCACAGGCCCGCAGTGCTCCTGGCGGGGATGCAAAGCACCAGCAGGACCCTCACGCAACGCTTGGGTAATGCCAGGCCCAGCTGCCCGGGCACAGTGTTGGAGAGAAGGGCTCTGCCGTGCTTCTCCGGACATACCGGAGGGGCAAACCAGCTGCTGGCAGGGGCCAGACGTGGGGCTGGAGCAGCCCGGGGAGACCGAGACTGCCGTGGAGACCCAAGGAGGGCTCGGCAGGGGCTGCCCGCCCCGGCGCGGCCTCTCTTCCTGGCCCACCCCTCGAAGGAGGAGATACCCCTTCCCGAGCGCCCGTCCCTCGCACACCCCTACCAAGGCCCGGCCCGGTAAGGAGGGGCCGGCGGGAGTCCTGGCCTTCATCCCGCCGACCGGAGGGGCCCCTTGGCGGGGAGGGCCGCGCGGTGCCAGTGCCCTCCCTACGGGGCTGCGGGGCGGTGATTGATGCAGACAGCGGGTGCGGCCCCCCCGCTCGGCCCCGCGACGGCTCTCGGGCCCGGGGGGGCGGGGCCCGCAGCGCCCCGGCTCCGCCTCCAGCG